GAGGGACTTAAATGGTTTTGTGCTTGACCAGAGAAGCCAAAGGTATAGATGGTGCCCGTACTCTGGCCAGTCTATCTGCTACTCAGAGATGGCCTGGGCCTCCCACTGCATTGAGTGAATTTGCTCCCTCCCCACCCTCCCCCCACCCTCACCTCCAAGCAAGAGAGGTCTGGTTTGTGATCCTGAAGTGCCGACCGCTCAGGTCTGATCAGCCCCACTGCCCAGTTCATGTTCATTTGCCACCAGGACAGTGTCAGAATTTTTCTTTTCTTTTTTTTTCTTTTTCTTTTTTTTTTTCTTTTGCTTTTTCAAAATTACTTACATTATCTTTATTGATGCAGTGTAATCAGTAAAATACACCCATCATCCAGGTGATGAGTTTTGCCAATTGTACATCCCCATGCCACCACCACCCAAAAGGCATACACGTTTTTCACTCTCTCTGAACTTTCTGGTGGAATATTTCTCGTCACGGTGAAAAACCAACAAAACTCTGATTCCTTTATTTGGATGGGGTCAGGTACCTCACTGGCTTGTTAAACTGCACTCTTGCAAGAGACTATTCCAACTCCAGCTATAACCTCCAACAGCACCTTGTAATTTTCTGTCTAAAACAAAGAAAACTCCATTACGTTTCTTGTCCCTGAGCTATTGAGTTTTGTCTCCCAAGGCTTCATTGACCCTCTAAAGGTTTTTTATGTTTCCTATATCCTGGCTCCTCCACTTATTTATCGAAGTACCACTTTTTCAGAAGAGACTGTGTAATTCCTTTTATAGGATTGGGCTCAAATCCTCTATATTAGGAACCTGGTGGGAAGGCTGTAAACTCAGGAGATTGTGGTAGGTATAGTGCGTGGGACTTGCTGCAATATTTTTTGTGTGTATCATTCCCTGTAATGTCATATGTTATTAGAGTCGGTGACTTAAAATCCATCTGCATCTCGACCTGTGGGATCAGTGATATGCTCCACATAAGCCTCCCACCCTACTCCAAATTTTTATCAAATTCATCAACCCCAGAGAAAGGAGAAATGTTTGTTAGAAATTCGACAAAGACTTATGAACTGGCTTCCACTATTAATAAAGCAGAGTCATTTTGCCAAATGATGAAGGATATGCCAGGTTCTGTTGCTGTAGATATTTGTCAATCCGTGTGCCCACACTAGTTAAAAAGGAAACATTTTCAGGTATTTCCATGTATTAGCCAGCAGTGACCTGGACAGTATAACCTGAAAGACACCTGACCTGATTCATCTAAAAGGAGACAGACTTGGACTAAGGCATCAAGGAGCCCTTACTGCTTCGCCATCACACTACAGAGATTCACTGCTTCTTGCCTAGATTATTTCAGTAGCCTCCTAACTGGTCTCCTGCCACTGGTCTCAACCACCTTCATCCTCTCTACCATTGACAATGTGCTCTTTCCCCTTCATTCTCTGACAAAGGGCTCCCTGCGTAATTCTGTAATGGCTTCCCCATTCCCCATAGTGTCCACACTCTCAGGTGTTGTTCACGATCTCCATAGAGTGGTTCACCTCTTCCTGCCTCCTCTGTACACTCCTCCTTACACACCCCAGTGTTCCCTTCTGCCACCTGCAGGCCACGCCAAGGACAACTCTCGGGCGCCATTCGCCAGGACCCCCTTACATTTGCAGCTGCTTCTTCCTCTTCTCAGTCTAGTTAATTCTGCATCATCACAAGTTCACTTAGATGTCATTTCCTCTGAAACTCTTCCCAAACACTAAGCTCAGGTCTCCTCCTCAGCAGCCAGTAACCCCTGCCAAAGCCTCTTCAGCTGATGCATCCCCGGCGCCAGGGGCACCATTCACATTGAACACAATAACAGCGGAACTCCTGGGACCTGTGCAACTTGGTGGCTTTGAGCCTTTGCACCTGAGTTGCTGGCTGACCTGTCTCCCACACCAACCCCCACGTCCCCCATAGCACATCTTCCACTTGTAGCCGGGCCACAGTTCTATTTCAGAACCTCCCTTCTCTGCTGGGAATCCTCGGGTTCTCCTCTGGATCTGCCCGTCCTTTTGAACCTATTTACTACCTAAAAGTAACCCCCTTTGGAGACCATATGTTTGAGGAGTTGAACGTGTTTGTTTTGCCAATAGTTTTCAAGCTCAGCTTCTCCTGGGTCAGGATCCTGTATGATAAGGACGGGCAGCACCATTCCCACACAGCTCCAATTCCCAAAACTCTACCCCGGCCAGAGTCTCAGGTCTCAGCTCACTGCCCAGAAGAAGTTAGCCACATGGTAGGAAGAGTTTGGGACCCTCTGTCCCTTCTGTCTCAGCCGCAGCTCCTTGCAGACAATGGTCACACCTTCTATTTCTTTAAAACGTTTCTGTCTCCCCAAAATGGCTAAATCACAAGGTGTACAAAGTAAATAACTCATTTGATGTTGTTAGGGGAATGTATTTATAAATGAATGAATAATTTGGAGCTGAGATATATATCTATGTATTCTTAAAATAATAAACAAAAATTAAACCCAAACCATTTGAAGCATAAAGAATCTGTGAGCTATTTTGTTGATTGTATTATTAAACCTTTTCTGTGAACCTGAGAGACTGATTAACCAAAAACCTGGAACAATGAATCACACAAATGCCTGTGTGGGTTCCCATAACCGATAGACCATCTTTCTAACAGAGAGCATCCTCCCCAGTGGATCAGGTTGTCATTTCCCTTAGGTTGAGTGTAGCAGGTTCTCAGCTTATTCCCAGAGACAAAAAAGAGGGAAACCTCTCACAATCATCTGCTGATGGGCCACGGGAGGGCAGTGATGGGAACGGTGGACAGAGAGAGGCTTAGGTCACATTTCCTGTAGGTACAAGAAGGCCATTCTTGGCTTTTGACCTTGGTCCTACAGTAAACCTGAGTCTGCAGCTCTCTGGGACAGCCCACAGCCTTAGAGAATCAATCTGCTGGGTTGAGTTTTTCTTTGTTTAAAAAAAAATCAACTTTGTCTTTTGAAACCTCTAATGGCCAAGTGAAATAATTTGTCCCTCACTCAGGAGTTCCCACACGGCCAGGTAATTGTAGGCGGCTGAGATATCTGCCGTGCATCTCTGTTTGGTCAAGTTTCAGATCATATTCCGTTCTTAATCTTTCATCATAAATCAGTTCTTCTGGCCTTTTAATCACTCTCGTTGCATGTTCCAAATGGGTTCCCAGGCCATAAATCAATTAGGAAATGTCTTTAAAGTGCTTTAAAAAATAAAAAGTGTGGGTAAGTGCAGCCCATTACAGAAGCAGGGCGGCGTGCTTGAAAGCGAAACTGGTGTTCAAGGTGCAACCTCTGCATTCACCGGAGCTTGTTTCTAATAAATTTCACAGGAATCTCACAGAGGTGGATTGATTTATTTTCTCCTTTGATATTTCTCTTATTTCTCCGAAGCAAAACCAAATCATATTTCTTTGAGATATTTGTTTGGGTTGAAGGATAAGGACAGCCTTGCTTTTCCAGCAGGAGATTGTATTTGGACAGAGAACTTGCTGAAGGCCAACGCAGAAAACAAAGACATGATCCACAGGGGAGACTGCAGTGATTCCACCAATGGAGACCTTCAGGAAAATAAGCCAACAAGCAAAAAGAGAAGACACTTGAATTAAGACCAGGGATAACACATAGGCTTCAAGTTAAATTGAATTTTGATCAGTTCTGCTCAATAGATAGCAGCTGCCTATAAAGATGGTTTTAAAAGAAAGTGGACGTCATGTCCAGTGGGAAGTATGATCAATAAGCTATGTCTGCCCAGCCAGTGTTGCTAGTGGTTGAGCATCAACCCATGAACCAGGAGGTCATGTTCAATTCCAGTCAGTGTGCATGTCCAGGTTTCAGGCTCTATCCTTGGTCAGGGGCATGCATCAGGCAACCAATCCATGTTTCTATCTCATCACTGCTTCTATCTCACTCTCCCTTCCTCTCTCTAAAAAATCAATAAAATATATTGAAAACAACAACAACACTTGTATTCCTTTAACATAAAAAATAATAATACTAATAAATAAGCTATGTCTTCTCTGAATGTGGAGGAGGCAGATGGAGGCATGCTCGTAACCTATCTGACATCAGGCATTAGACAACCTAAAGGCAAGACTTGACTCGTAGGTGATGATCTGACACATGACAGGCGCTCTCCTCTAAAAGATTCCAGATTTTGATTAACACGACCTCACAGTGTGTTTACATTCCACAGGGGACACGTGGCCCACTTGCTGACATGAACTGCCTGACCACAATGTGTAGAGATCAGTGATAAGTTCTTGGAAGTGGTGACAGAATACATTACATTTGTATCAGACCTTAAGTTAACAAATGTTTACATCCATGCTTTCTTATTTAACATTCATTCTATTTTCAATAAGTAAGTATTGCTCCCACTGGGAAGCCAGGTAGTGTACTATGAGTTAGATATAATTGGTAAATTAAAAATAAAATATAGCCCCTGCCTCTTTGGAGTTTATATACCCATAAAGAATAGGGGGGGGAGAAGAGGTGTGTATAAACTTCAATTTGAAGATGAGAAGACTGATGCTTAAATACCATATATAACTCGTCCATGAAAAAAAAAGGCATATGGAGGAAACAGGACTTTTGCCCAAGGCTGCCAGTATAATTTCTCTCTGTTTTTTCCTGGGCTATTCCATTTTTCACGTGAGCCTCGATCCCAGAGCTGCAGCCTTCTGGTTTTGCTGCTCCTACAATGCTGATGATCACTTATTTCCTCGGTAATGGTGATCTGCAGCTCTATCGATGCCATGAGGGCTTCCCCAGCAATATCTTTAATCCCACAGCACCTGAGGACTCCTTCAGAAAATGGTGCACTGGATCTGGAATGGAGAAGAGGGCTTCACAAGCAAGGTGGAGTCAAGCCAGACTTCAGACCAAAGATAAGGGCCAAGGTAGAGAGGACATGAAAAGTCATTGCAAGTGGAGGGGGTGAAAGAATAAGAAGAAAAAATGTCATGAACTACATGTGAAGGAATAAAATCATAAAACAAACAAGTGATTTCAGAAGCAATGAGTAGACAAGTTTGGTTCAACCAAAGAAAAAACAAAATATTTATTTAGTGTCTATGTGCCATAGGCACTGAAACATTATTTCATTTAATTCTCACAACAACTACATAAACAAGGAAGGCAGACCTCTTGCCTCATTACAGGTAGGATAACAAATACCAACTGCTATTAGGTAGCTTGCCCAAGGTCATGGATAGTAAGTGTCATAACTAGTATTCACAACAGGTATTTCCATCTCCATATCCGGAGTTCCCTCTGCTCAAAGCATTCCTGGTCAAGTCTGCAAGGTACTCAGAGCACTAGAGAGAGATACTGCGGAAACAGGGAAAGCAGGCATCAAAATTGGTCTGGAGAGGACCAATTGTCTTTGCCAATTTGATAACATTGCTGTTACCTATTCTTCCCTGATAGGTAATGTGTTTGGAGAAAGATGAGAGACAACTCTTTCAACAAATTCAAGCATTTTGTCTTCCAAAAAAGGAATACCTGACTACTTCTACTTTGAGGAATGCTAAAAACCTAGAAATGGATTCCTCATAGGTTGTCTGTTTTCTCCAAAGTCATTTCTCTTCCTGCCCCTTTGCCTTTTGCCAAAAATTCAATGTTGACCCCCTCTCTCTCATCCTTCAGAATTTCAACTTCATTCATTCACATCCACCATCCTCTGCAAGGCCACAGGCACCAGAGGAAGCAAGATGTAACCCCAACCTTAGCAGATGACTACTGCTTAATCCAAGCCAGTCATGGTGGCCCCATTGCCCAATATGGACTTAGGCAAGAGCATGTGATACAATTGGGCCACTGTAACATGAGGATGAGTCTGCTAGGAAGCTTCTGGAAGAGGGTTCTTCACTCTTAAGATGATACAAGGAAGAAATGGCCTCTACCGCCTCTGGATAACTTTCTATCTGTGATGCCTGGAGTTGTGGCACCCATGTTGCCAACATGAGGAGACCAGGCTAAGGACAGATCACCTTTACCAATTTCACAGTGTTGCTCTCCTCTATTCTTGTCTGACATGTGACATACGGAGTGGAAGATGGTTCTTTCTGCTGATTCATGGTGCCTGACAGAGGGTTTCTTTGCCAGGTTTGACAAATAAGAGGTTCTTAAAATGAAGTATGAGCCACAGAGGAATAGGGCAGAAGGAAAACAACATTATAAGAAGGATCACTTTAGTTATTAAATGGGTCCCACATAACGTCTGTTGAGAGGAAGGAAAAAATAATGAAATATAGGATTTTTTTATTGTTCAACCATCCTTCTTGAATACAACACCACTGAGAAACTAGACCACAATGCTCAGAGTCTCAATAGCATGAAAGCAGGCCTAAAGGAAATGAGTCACGACACAGCAGCAGCTGTTGTTTGCATATTTGTTGATTTTGCGCAGACTCTTCACTATACAACAGGGGTCGGCACGCCACAGCCCCAGGGTGAAATACAGCTTGCTGCCTAGTTGTGTAAATAAAGTTTTGTTGGGATACAGCCAACCCCGCTTGTTTACACGTTGTCCGTGGTTGCCTTTTTGCTAAAATGTCAGAGTTGAGTAATTGCAGCAGAGACTTCATGGCTCACAAAGCTGAAATTTTTGTCCTCCAGTCCTTTGCAGAAAGTTTGCTCCCCCCCCCCGCCCGCCCCCTCCCCGACTTAGAAGGAAGAGAACCAAACCGACAGACTGAGTACACAAATGAACACTGGCCACACCGCATAGAAAAATGACCCATGTGAATCCATTTGAATTCTGATTCGCGGTCTACAGCAGCAGGCCCATACAACCGAACCATTACCTACAGTAACCTGCACAGGAAACCCACCCGCTCCCTATACATCAAACTTGTAGAAAGTGAGACACTATCTAACAACAGGTCCAAGAAGTCAGATGTTGACTCCTGTAACATCGGTATGTATTTGTCTGTAAAGCCCCAAACAGGCAGGACTTTACTAATAACTGCTAGCTTTCCTAATTTCTTTTATTGATTTTAGAGCGAGAGGAAGGGAGAGAAAGAGAGAGAGGGAAACATCGATTTGTTGTTCTGCTTATTTATGCATTCATTGGTTATTTCTTGTATGTCCACTGACGGGGATCAAACCCACAACCTTGGCGTATGGGGCAATGCTCTAACCAACTAAACTACCCGGCCAGGGCTAGCTTTCCTAATTTTTGTCCCCATTTCTAAGTTAGGACCCACCAGAGTTAGTCAAAAATGTACTACTAAGCAATTGCTTAGGATGCCCCAGTTCCAGTTGTCCCTCCCAGAGGTTCCTCATACCAACAGCCTCCAATCAGGGCTCACAGGAAGCCTTCCCTTTTCCATGGGAAAGCTTTCCACTCCTCTGCCTGCCCCTGAGTCTCTTTCAAAATATAAGTGATGGTGGCTGACTCCTTTGCTATACCAAGTTCAGAAGAAAAAAAAACAGCCTGTTTTTCTCATTTGATTGATCTCCAGTTATTTCCACAGAATTTGGAATTAAAGGATCTGAGTCCTAATCCTGGATCTGCCACTCATTCCATCTGTGACACTAAATACTCAACTCATCTGTTTGAAAAAGGAAATTAAAGAGGCAGGGTATCTACCCCTAGGAGCTCATTGGCCATTTACATTTTAAGGGTAAGACTAAATCATACTAGAAATATGTGCAAAGGAAAGAGGCAACTCTGGGGAAGGAGCAACAGCTTGGATTGGGTCATACATCTAGGACTTGCCTGGCATTGATTAATTGATAATCACTGTTATCTTTGACCACTATTAATATAGTCACTAGGAAAATATATTTCCCCTACATTCACAAATTTCTTCCTTTCCAAGCAAAATGTAAGCCACTCATCTCAAAATATGGAGAAGTCATTTGTTTGAAAATCCAATTTCACAAATGGCTCATTTGTTAAAGTAATATTTTAATGGACCTGGATTCAAATGCTCTTTTCTAAAGTTTCCATTAGTGGCATCATTTGAGTTTGTCCAAAGCACTGTCTAGTTTGCTTCGTGGATGTTTAGCAATTTCCACAAATGATGATACAATTTTGAATGTTTTGAATGTCTTTCATCTTTTGCAGTACACTTACTTGATTTATGGTGTGTAAAATAAAACACTAATTGTACAGAATTTTCACAGATCTCACTGGGTACCTTCAGTAATATTATCATAGTTGTATTGCCCATGAGTATTCTACAAATGTCTTTATGTAAGTCCTAAACATGCTCATTGTTAAAATAGACTTTTAAAGCTACAGTTTCTATTAATTAAAAAGGCAACATATGAATATTTGTTTGAATTTTTTAGCTTTAATCCAAATGTTATGTCACATATAAGCAAAGCCTATATTGTCAAATCTGTAATATTCCAGATTGTCCATAAATGCAAGTTGAAAGGTACACTGGACAGTGTCAGGAGTCCTGCCTTCCTGTCTGGAATCTATCCTTCACTGTCTGAGCCAGCTCCAGCAAATAGCATCATGCCTTGGGATCCCTATTTCCTCTCTTATAGGCTATCACTAGGGTTCATGTCAAGACCAAAAAGCTATCATCAGTGAGCTCCATAGATTTTCAGAAGTACTGGTGGAAAATGACATTTTCCAGATGCTCGACTGGATGGCTTCCATCCCAGAGGAAGCCTGAACTCATAGAATTTCGACAAGTTACGCTGGAGGAGCATTGGAGCCCGAGTGGAATCCAGGAAGACCCCTGCCCAAGGGCTGTGCTTTGTTAGTATTGTTTCACAATCCTATGTTAGCAGCCTCGGCAAAGACTAGGATGGTGAAAAGGGTCAATGAGGGGAAGGAAGGCCTTGACTCAGCCATTCATAGAGCAAGGACTGAGCTAACTTCTGGGGGTTTTGGAGTAAGCAAGACACAGCCCCTCCAGATATCCACAGCAAGTGAGGAGATAAACACTTTGCAAATGAACACAGACCACTCACTTGACCTTGATCTCATTGCAGGATCCATTTGGAAAAGAAATGTTGTGTTCTTGTTATCCTAAGTAGTCAGGTGGTCACCAGCAATAGATCTAGAACCACACCTTCTGGGCCCAAATCCCCTTTCTTCCACTTATTGATTCTGTGATCTTGAGCATTGCCTAAAGGCCCTGTGCCTCGGGTTGTTTCTTGTCTGTAAAGCAAGGATAATAGTAATACCTAGCTCATGGAGTTTTCTGAGGACTTCAAAAGATGCCTAGCACATTGTAAGCACTCTTTAACTATTGCTAACTACTAGTTCCCATTTTACTGAGCATTGTCTATATGTGTACATGCATGATGTCAATTAATCTTCACTGAAGTAGGTCCTACTATTCCCATTTTGTAAATAAAGTGAGGCTTACACAGCTTTGGTGAGACCACGATTCAAACTAGTCAGTCTGACCCTAGTGTTAACACTAAAATGTATAACATTTGGGGGGATAAAGATAATGTATACAGCTGCTTTAACCATAATAGGTTGCTATTTCACATTAGAATCCCCAATAACATCCATCTTTTTAAAATATAGTTATTAGAAAACTATAGTTTCAAAATACAAGTGATGCAAATATTTTCATTTCCCACAAGAGGGCCAACAAAACACTGTAAGGTTCATCTAGTAATATACAACAATCTAAATTAATAATGATGAAACAAAACAAGCTGTCATCTATATTTGACAAGTATGAATAACAGCATGAGAAAAGCACAACCAGCAGACATCCCTGATGATACCTAATAACTAAACATCCTCCCAAATACAGTGGGAGTGCCCACAGCTGGGTTCCCTCCTGAACACCTTCCCCAGGCCCTTGTACTGGTAAATTTCAATTTCTAAAGGCTAAAATTTAATATCTCTTATTGACTCACCTAAAATAAGTGAGGCATTTTCTTGTAGAAAAGAAATGAGGGAAAGAGAGAGAAAGGAAGGGAGGAAAGGAAGAAGAGAGAAAAAACTTATGTAATTTGCATTATCCACCAACAAGAAGTAAAGGATATTCTCCAAATTGTTTCTGAATCTTTCTTCTCAAAGTCTAGGGTATAATCCTGACTATGTTTATCTCATCTTCTCACTGGATCTTATAAATTCTCTGAGACCATGGTCACCTTATTCCATGTATCTGTATTTATATCCTCACCCTATGCTCTGCTAGCCCTTTTCCCCCCTTGGGCCCTCCAATTTCCATAAGGAGTGTGTCTGTCTTTTTTTTTTTTTTTAGATTACTTCCACACATAATAGGTATATTCCCTTTATGTTAGCATTGTACCAATATTGAATTCCACCCAAGTCTTGGAGATTCTAAAATATCCCATCTACTACCTTTGTCATTCGTTTCTTTTATTTCTCATAA